TAAATTGTTGGTCTTGACCTTGCCAGCCTGTTCTGGGTGTTCAGGAAATCAAACCTCTGCCCGGGGTACCGAAGGGAAGGGAGTCACTACTGATGCCCACGGCCGGGTATGTCCCGCGCGCTCCAGCGGCTTCCAAGGAGTCTCCAAAATGAGAACCCCATACTGGTGGATGGGGGGAAAACAGTATGAACTACTAGCCTCCAAACTTTTTTGATCATGCACCCCTATCAGTAAAAAATTTTTGTAGCGTGCATGCCCAATATATGTATATTTATTTGTGGATTATATACAGGTATTACTATACTGATAAATACATTATAAAACATACAGAAAAACAGAAATTTAAAAAAGGGTGAGATAAGGATGAAATAAACACTACTTTTAAAAAATATATATATATTTAATTTTACTTATCAGTGGTGCAAAAAGTATTTTCTTCCCACAGCCCGATGGGTTGCCTTGTGCACCCACTTTGGAGACCACCGGTCGGGAGCAGAGCTGGTTGTCTGGGTCCTGCCTGACAACTACAGGAACCGCGTCCCTGCAGTGGGGCTGAACGGGAGGATGATAAAATTCAGAAAGCTTCCATCAGGTCCATAGACAGAGGCCGTGTGCGCCCTGGCCAGGAACGGCTGGAGTCAGCTGGGTAAATCTGAGCAAGGCATTTGGTAGGGCAATGTTAATGTTTGGTTTAGTGGCTTTAATTGGAACAGAAAAGCACGTGACCAGCTTTCGAGTTTCACTCCTTACTCGCGTGTGGAGCGGGTATTGAGACGTCAGGACTTTTTCTTCTAATACAAAGTGGACAAATAGTGGGGTGGGAAATGGAGCTGCACAGTGGTGATGGGATTTCTGAGCATCAGTGCTGGGAGCAACCCCCGGCTCTTTCGTGGCGACGCGGTTACTTGGTGTTGGGCCAAAACACGCCATTGCGCATGAAGTTACCATTTAAAAATCAGTATCAAAAGATAGATTATTTTGCTGTTGTGAAATATTGACACCTAATGGTATTTTACACGTTAGACATCTGTGAACAACTTTGTGTATTTCCATGGGTATCCTCATGTCATGGATGAGGGAATAAATGTAAGTGGGAATTTGTATTAGAAATATGCAAAATAACTCTGGGAGCTGCTTAAACCCAAATATGCTGTGAATCTATTGCCTGGCAGTTGTAAACAGCTAAAGTTCAGCCATACTGGAGTAATGCATTTACCAGAAAGTCATTAAATATTTCTGTTGTGAAAAAGTCCCCTCGTTCCTGCCTAGCTATAAATGAAGTTCTCATAAATAATTCATTTCAGACTGTGACCAAGCATGGTCGTAGTCAGCTGTCAAGACTCGGTGAAAAAGATACAATCTCGAGAAGAGGACATTTCTGTCTGTGATCAGCTCTAGGTTTTGCAGGGCATTTCATGGCCAGAATACAAATGCTGCTGCCTCCTGAGCAACGCCGGGAGAGCAGCACGGGGAAACCTGTTATATTGCTTTTTATCTGGCTGCTCTCGTACAGATGGCTTTTGTTAGGGGTTACCTCTTGTCTCCCCTCCCAGCCTTGCGGTTGACAGCAATCAACTTCTCGAAACACCTTATTTGTCTCTGTTAATAAATTAGGTTTTAACTATGCGCTTGCCTTGGGCGCTTAACTACAAGCCGGATTTCAAAGGCTTGGGCAATAAATTTGTTCTTGATGTATTCCTGCCCGGCGGTGCCTACCTCTCGCTGCGGTCGGCAGAAATCATGGCACGGGCACCACATCCCGCAGCTCTGCGCTTTTCTCCCCTGGAGCGTGCGTTCCTGGACTGGCTGCTTGTCTCTGACAAAAGACAGCATCTTCCCATTTATGCAAAGCAAGGAAGCGATAATCCTACTGATATGATGAAATTACTTGTAGGATTATGGGAGGGGAAGAGTTTGTACGAAGGCAGTTTACTGTGATGCCGTCCCCGAGATGGAGTTGTGCATTGCCTTCTCCGTTGAGGTAGCAGATGGAGGGTGCTCTTAAAACGTGAAAGCAGGTGAGGGGCAGAATCTCACTTGTTCAGGGGAAAAATGTGAGTCAATAGATACGTTCACATGGACAAGGCCAAGGTTGGGTTCATGGGTTGCCATGTTTTGTTTAGCGCAGGCTTCGGGTTGTCGCTGTGCATGGACGGTGCCGTCGCTGTGAATTCGGGGCGTTCCTCTGCTGCTGTGCGCTCACGAATGCAGACGCTGGTCTTTTGTCATCACCTGAGAATATCTGTTTTACCTTCCAGGTCTCACAAAGCTTTTAAACGTGATGTCTTTGCAGGATGTGATCGGCGGAGCACTGATTTCGGCTGTGCTGCTCATGCTCTTGTATCCTGCGTGGGACATGATAGATCACTTGCTGTTAACCAGTCCCTTCTGTCCGCTGCTTTCCATAGTTGTGCCTCTTGTCTTATGTTACAACTACCCCAAACTAGACTACTACAGCCCTACCAGGGGAGACACCACAACTATCTTAGGAGCAGGAGCTGGAGCAACTGTGGGATTTTGGTTAAATAACCAGTACGCCATGCCAGCCTACACCAGCGAAAGTTTTCCGCTCAGATTTCCTCTGATCACCGGTAAAATAGTGGCGGTTGTTCTGGCCAGGTTCTTCGTAGGGATCTTTGTTATTCTACTGACGCGCCGGCTGATGAAGCGTGTGGTCCTTGGCATGCTGCGCTATCGGTACAAGTTTTCCATCGGCGACCTGGAAGCCCGAAGACGACTGGAAGTCGAAGTGCCGTATAAATTTGTAACGTACTCCTCAGTTGGCTTCAGTGCTACCGTGCTTGTGCCGCTGCTGCACGAGCTGTTGGGATTGATGTGAGCGCAGCGCCTTCCTTACAGAGTAACGTATGGCACCACCGTTGCAGAGATGCGATAAGTCGTTCGAGGCTGGTGACTTCACCAAAAAGTGTTTTGTGCCTTTCTGCACTGGCCTAAAATACCAGATTTGGCAGAGTCACAGGAATTGCTGTACACAAGTAACTTTGGGTTTGAAATCACTGACCCCGCTGTGTCCGATAATTAGAGACCCCTGGCCCAGACGACTAAAGATGACAAGCACAGAGTACAAAGCCAAAATCCCTGCCGGAGCGGCGGCAGCAGCTGGTTTGCTGGGGGTGCCGGGAAGCGTGGCTGTGCCTGTGGGACGCCGGCCCCGTGGGCTGCGAAACTGCCTGCCTGGC